AATCTTTGGCAGGTTGAAATCCAGTTTTTCCAACACCATTTATTAAAGAGGCTATCTTTCCCCCACTGGGGATGGTCAGCTCCTGTGTGAAAGATGACATGGCTTTGTACATCTGGATTTGTTTTTGTGTCTTCTAATATGTTCCACTGATCCTCAGATCTGTTTCTTTGCCAGTACCATGCTATTTTTATCAGTGTCTTTGTAGTATAGTTTCAAATTGGGAATTGTTATACCCACTGCCATGTGTCTGCTGCCTAGGATGGCTTTTGCTATTCTATGTCTCTTCTGGTTCCAAATGAATTTTTGGATTCTTTTTTCTAGTTCTGTGAAATATAGTGTTGGAATTTCAATAAGCATTGCATTGAATCTGTATAGCAGTTTTGGTAGTATGGCCATTTTCACTATGTTGATTCTCCCTACCCAGGAGCAGGGGATATCTTTTCATTTTCTTATATCCTCTTCAATCTCTTTTTTCAGAGTGCTGTAGTTTCAGTGTAGAGGTATTTTGCTTCTTTTGTTAGATTGATTCCTAGATACTTCATTTTTTTTGGATGCTATTGTTAAAGGAATTGTTTCCCTAATTTCTCTCTTAGTGAGTCTGTTATTTGTGTACAAGAAGACTATTGATTTTTGGTTTTTGACCTTGTATCCAGCTACTCTGCTAAAAGTGTCAATTAAATCTAGAAGTCTTTTGGTGGAGTTTTTTTGGGTCTTCATTGTAGAGTATCACATTGTCAGCAAATAATGCAAATACATACTTTTTTTTTTTTTTTTGGTACGGGGGATTGAACTTGGGTCCTTGCACTTGCAAGGCAGACCACCAAACCACTGAGCTAAATCCCCAGCCCCTGCATTTCTTATAAAGACTTAAAAATTTTTAATTTTATTGATACAATTTAGATATAAATAATGATCACAATCATCATAGAGAATTTGTACTTGTTCATGATGTGTCTTTTTTCCTCCCCTGCCTTCGTCCTCTCTTCCCCTCCCTATTTACAAAAGTCCTGCTTCCATTTTTTTTCCTTTTTCCTTCCTTTCTCCACTCCCCTCCCTAGTTCCCCCATACTTTTGAACAATTCTTACCTATTTCACATTATCTGTTATATACTTTGGTCCCTATTTACACTTTCAGTTTCTTACATCAGAGATATAATGCGATATTTTTACACATGTTGGATTTATTTCACTTAAGAGTATGCTCTCAAGATAACATCCATTTCACTATAAATGTCTCAAGTTTATCCTTCTTTATGGCTGAGTAGTATTCTATTGTATAGAAAAACCACATCTTTTTTATCCATTCAGCATTTGGGTTGTTTCCAAGATTTATCTATCACAAACTTTGTCGCTATAAATGTGTGAACATATATCACTTTGGTATGATGCTTTTAATTCTTTTGGGAAAATACCCTGAAGAGGAATAGCTGGGTCATTTGGGCCCTCTAATCCTAGTTTTTTTGAGGAATTTGCACAGACAGTGGTTGTACTAATCTGCACTCCCACCAACAATGAAGAAGGTTCCTTTGTCCCCACATCCTGCCAGCATTTGTTCTTGGTTGATTTCTTAGAAATAAGCATTCTTTCAGGAATAAAATGGTATCTTAGTGTAGTAATTTGCAAATCTTGAATACCAGTGATGTTGGACATTTTTTCATATATTTGTTTGCCATTTTCACATCTTCATCTGAGAACTGTCTGTTCATTTCAGATGCCTGTTTTTTGATTGGGTCTTTAAATTTTGGGGAGACGCCTTTTTTTTCAATTTTTTGAAAATTATTCTAGATGTTAGTCTATTAGCTATTAATTCTAGATATCAGTCCTATCACTGAGGGACAACTGGCTCTAATTTTTTCTCTCTGTGGGTTATCTCTTCACTCTGATGGTGATTTCTTTTGCTGTGCAAAAGCTTTCTAGTAGGATGAGATATCATTTGATTCTTTGTATTATTTCCCATTGGATTGGAGTTTTGTTCATTAAGTGTCATTGCCTATGTCTAAGTGTTCAAAAGTTCTGCATATTCTCTCTTTGAACAGATTTAATGTTTCTATTTTAATATTTAAATTTTTGATACATTTTTATTTTACTTTAGTGCACGGTGAAACATGGGTCTTAAAATTTTAGTCTTCAGTGTGTGGAAAGCCAATTTTTCTAGCACCACTGATTGAAGAGCCTTTTTTCCAGTGAATGTGTTTGGCCCCTTTGTCAAAGATAATGTGCTTGAGTGTGTCTGGGGGTTGTTTCTGCATATTCTAGTCTATTCCATCCATCCTCATTCTGTTTTGTTTTGTTTGTTTGTTATTGCTTTTTTTTCTTTTGTAGAATCATACAATTTTTTTACCATGCTGTTTTTATCACAGTAGCTCTGTAATATAATTTCAAGTCAGGGCTTGCCTTTGCTAGTCTAGGCAAATTGCTCTTGCTGGTTCCAAGTGAATTTTAGGATTGTTTTCTCTATGAGATATGCTGTTGAAATTTTGATCAGAATTGCATTAAATCTGTATAACAATTTTGTGAGTATGGCCATAGGTTCTTCCTACCCAAGAACAGGTGACTCAAGAACAATTTCCACTTTCTGATATCCTCTTCAATCACCTTTTTCAGAGTACTTCATTTTCAATGTAGAGGTTAAAGCATTTGTATGATATGGTAGGTATTTTAAAATATGATGTTTTCATTTGTACCTAAAAGTATTTGTAATGAGTACCTTAATCCAGTTATCAAACTTGAGTTTTTTGTTGTTTTTTTTTTCCAAATGAATGCTGGTGACGGAAGGAAAAAAGACAAGAGAGGACTACTATATCTTAGTTATTGCTGTTATAACAAAAATGCTATTGACTAGGTGGCTTAAGTAATAAACATTTTCCATAGTTATGTAAGCTAGAAGACAGATCAAGGCCCTCTTCTTGCCTTACGTCTGGTAATTATTTTTTCCCCTTGTTTCTTTCATGAGGCACAGTGGAGAAGAAGCAATTCAATGATTCTATTCTTATAAGGACATAATCTCATCATGAGAGCTCTACCCTTATAACTTTATTCTTCGCAAAAGGTCAAACCCAAATATTATCACATCACAGTTTTCAATAAAATGATGTGGGAAAGACACATTGATTCCCCAACAAGAGCATAAATTCTGATTGACTAGGCTATGTAGCTATCTGTATGATTTTCAGTTTTTCAACTGTTGAACAGAGGATTTGTAATAGGCCTTTTAAAGTCTTTCGGTTGTGATACCTATTTTATCTTGCAGAAAACAGTAATAATGAATTCATTAATATATGATGAGTCCTTGTAATAAAAATTGTTTTAGTGTTTGTATTTCTTATGTAAGCTTTGTTGAAATATAACTTACCATAACATTCACGCATTTTTAAAATGTATAGTTTGAGGAGTTTGAATAAATATATACAACTGTACAAACATCCTAAATCCAGGTATAGAAGTTTTAATGCAATATCAAAAGGTTCCTTATGCCCATTTGAAATAAATTCTCTGTTTATCCTCAGCCCTAGGCATCCATTGATCTGCTTCCGTCACTTGCTTTATTGCCTTTTCTATAAGTGTTATATAGCTTATTTTACTTAGCATGATACTTTTCAGGATCATTTAAGTTGTTGTACATATCAGTCTCCCTTTGTACTATTGTGTAGTTTTCTTTTGGATGGGTATACACCACATTTTGTTTATCTATTAGCTGTTGAGTAAATCAGGTTGTTTCAGTTAGAATCAGATATGAATAATACTATTAGGACCTTTTGCATTGTTTTTATGTGGACACATCTGTCTTTCCTCTTGGGTAAATGACTGGAAGTGACTTACTAGGCTATATATGTGTACGTTTATCCTTTTTAGAAATTGCCAAACTGCTATAAATTTTTATTAGTACATGTTTATGATGCACAAGGAATTTATTCATTATGGGGTACTGGGATACATAGGGCATCTTGGTCCTTTTTAGTTGTCCTTCCCCTCCCCTCTTTCCTATATCCCTCCAGCTCCAATTCCTATCTCCATAAAGTATATCTATTTTATAGTTCTACTACAGTATTAGTACATATTAAAAAAAGCATTAGTGTATACAGATTCTAATTTCTCCATATCATTACCTGTGCTTGATGTATTATCAGTCTTTTTTACTATACTCATTCTATGGCTATATCATAATATCTGATTGTAGTTTTAATATCCATTTCCCTCATGATTATGATATCTCTGAGAATCCACATTATATCAGGTAATACCACTGTAACTTAAAGTAATTTTAGGAACTTTTTAGTCATAATTTGTTGGACAAATTACTAGCCACTTTAGGAAACCTATTTTATAATCTGTCAGTGGATCTCTTGCTTATTTTTTCTTTTTGCTTTTTAGTATTGTTAGATCTGTCCTGAGAATGTTGTTTTTTACATATTTGTTAGACATTGAAAGATAGTAGAAGTTAGGCAGGTACTTGTTTATATGCTCTGAAGTTCAAGGAAGAGGCTATGGGTGGAAGTTGGAGTTATAAAATTTGGTAATTGGACAGGATTTAACAGAAGTCTGACAATTAAAGTTGAGTGGTTCAAAAAAGTGAGGAATGCCCTGAGGCCCTGAGAGAAGCATGTTATGCATGTTGTGGTTACTTGCCTGTATGAAATGTTTTGTTTTGTTTTTTTTAATTCATTATTTTAGGGCAGGGGATTTAGCTCAGCAGTTCAATGGCCTGCAAGTGCAAGGGATCCGAGTTCAATCCCCGGTACCAAAAAAAAAAAAAAAAAAAATTCATTATTTTATAGAATATATATATATGTATATGTTTTGCTAAAAACTGAGTCTTCATAACATCGGTGATAGCTGCGTTTTTAAAATTATTTGGAAAATTATTGAAGTTTTTTTCCCTCTGGAGTAATGTAATTTTTATTATTAAACATCCTACTCATTATTTTTACTAATTTAATAGTGACATCGAAAATATTGATTTCATGAGTCATACTGAATATGTACCTTTCTCTCATTTCTAGGTAAATACTGTGGTCTGGGGTTAAAAGTGAATCATTCAATTGAATCAAAAAACAATGAAATTACAGTGATGTTCATGAGTGGAGACCATAACTCTGGACGAGGATTTTTCGCTGCATACTCAGTTATAAATAAACAAGGTAAATTATTTTCTTATGCATTGGCTTCTACATTTTGCAGTTTTTGATAGAGATGAAATGTTTTTTCAGATTCCTGTTACCTGAAATTAGAATAGAGCAGAAAATCAGAACAGTTAATAAGACATATACAAATGTGACAAATACATCAGTTTCAGAGTGCCAAAAGTAAGTATATTAGCTTTTATGTAAAGCCTATAAGCTTCCTTTTTCTTAGTAGAAGAAATAAAAACTTTTTACTTTTATAAGACTGAAACAGAAAGTATAAAAAGTGTTTAAAAATCTGTGAATTATTAAGAGGTACCATATCAATTTAAGATTTCATATCCACAGTTTACCATTTTCATAGTTCTGTATTAAAAACCATATTGCCATGCTTTTCAACAAATATGCTTTTATACCACCAGGGGCATCCTGGTAACTTCTCAGACAGAACAAAATAAACAGGAGGCATTTCTGAACTGTTAATATTTAGAATCTAAGGGCGGGGTATTAAAAGCAAAGCTACTGAGTAGAATAGATTGTAAAATTTACCTAAATCTATAAGATAAAAGTGTAAGACCTACATGAAAACTCCTTTTTTGGCTGCTGTGGCTTAAATTCATTCCCCTCTGTTATTCAGAGCATGGTGAGAAGGTGTTGCTACTACAAGGATATATCAAAACACTCATTTAAATTAGGAATCTATGATTATGTTTATATTCAGTAATGAATTAAGTTGACCACTTAAATTTAGAACTTAGCATTTAGTACATAGTGTATAAATGAGAACAGTATCAAGACTCTTGGGTGTGAGAATGTTGAGCAGTGGGTATAACTGAGGACCAAGTAAGCTATTGTCTTCAGTGGTGATGGTTTTGAAAAAATACTGTGTCTTAGAAGAATATGATTTCTAAGCAGAGGGGTTTTCTGCATGGTGAGCAGTCTGCTTTGCTTTAGTTTCTAAGCTATGGAATGAGGTGTGAAGGCTACTAACATCTTTTAGAGAGAATTAAAAAAGAGCCAGATATGTTGGCAGATGCCTGTAATCAAAGCAACCCAGAGGCTGAAGCAGGAGGATCACTCCAGGTTTGAGAGCAACATGAGTTTAAGGCTACCCTGAACTTCATACTGAATCTGTCTCAAAAACACAAATAAAAAAACCAAAGTGAGAGAGGGTATAAAACTCATTTGGATGGAATAATATAGAAATAATAATTAATATTTTTGACCGAGCTAGGAAAATAGTGGCATTGTAATATTGTAGATATCTCTGGGATCAAAACCTGCCTCTGCATGCTAGACTGATGACTTCTTGCAAATCATTTCACTTCAGTGGGACAAACCAAATGATGTAGTATCTCTAGGCATAGTAGGTACATAGTAGTACTTACCACCCCCATCCACCACTGTAAACACTCACAGTGACCATGCCACACAAATATTAAAAGGTTAAGACAGAGAATCCGTAGTGACATAGTAGTAGATGACCATCATTTCAGTTTCACTCCTTGAAAATCTCAGATTGATAGAGGAGAGGAAAAGAAATAAATTATTTTACTTCTTAAGTTTCTTAGGCTTAATATCAAGTAACATATTTAGTTTGACTAATATTTTTCCTCTTGTTATCTATCGTGTTATAGGGTGCTAGAAAATAAATATCCTCTTTTTTTAAAAAAAAAAAGGTTCTTACATAGATATTTAAATTACAGAGCTTTTGAACCACAGATATGTGAATGTTCTACATTAAGCTTATTTAAAGAATTGATAGTGGTCTCAACAGAATCAGTATGCTGTAGACTTATACACCTCTGTACCAGATTTCAAAAAGCTCTGTTGCTATTTCAGATATTTCACTTCCGAAATTTTTGAAATGTCTATTTTAATTAAAGGAACATGTAAATAGTAAGATTTTTGAAAGTGCTAATCATCTTGGGAAATCATCATTTCACAGCTATCTCATGAAGTTTTTTTTTTTTTTTTTTTTTTTTTTTTTTTTTTAATCAAGCATTTATTTCATTTGAACTAAAGTGAATTGCCTAAATTCAAGAGAACACTGGCTGAATTGCTTATTACTTTTGTGTGGCCTTTCAATCACTATTTCTTGTAGTGATTCATGCATTTGAGGACTGGTTGGCTGTAGTTGAGATCCTCACATTGTCTCTGTCCAGAAAATTTAGCTACCACTTAAATTCCATAATATTTTCAAGGATCATCACTGCATGTCCCTAGCTTACCATCTGGTTGAAGATTAGAGTATTTGGGAATAAACATGTGAATGGTCTTACTTCAGCAGCTACTTTATTTGTTGAAAAGTCCCACAACCACAAAGACTTGTTACTATTTTATGTGTTGTTGCTAGAGTGGTGATTTCATCCAAGATAGACTGATATTAATTATGTTATGCAGGAGCTCATTGGAAAATCATATTCCCTTCAAAGCCTTTTTTCCTTCTCTATGCTTGGTCCCAGGGTAATAACAATAATGAAGACAGACACAACCAAAGCCTTCATGGAGCTAATAGTATAGGATTGGGAAAAAGTCATTTAAATAAATGGCTATTTATTTGCAGTTAAGATAGGAGGCCAGAGAGGTACAAGGAAGATCGATGAGGAACAGCACTGTCCTGAGGAAGTCATTTTTAACCTCAGGACTAAAGGATTAATTGGAGATTCGAGGGTAGACAAGGATATAAGAACATTATAGGGAAGAGAACAATAAGTTCAAAGGTCTGGTGATAGAAAGGAGCTTTGGGAAAACTGGGGGGGTGGCGTTGTGGGCGGAGTGAATAGGGAATTAAGTAGGTCTCCTTACTGAAAACATAAGGTGGATCTTTGTCTTAAGAGTGCTGGAGGCCCTGAACTATTTCTCCTCTGTCATGCTGCCTTGGAACCAGTGGACCATGGACTGATGCCTCTACAAACTATTTAGAGGAGTCATTTTTTTATGTGGGATGAAGCTGAAGACCATCTGGATTTTCTTTCATGTTGAAACCTCCTGAAATTAGAGGAGTGTGTGCAGATCCTGGGGAGCAGTAGTTTGGTCCAGTGCACCTGCAGGCAGATCCCAGCCAGGGATCTGCCCTGACCCCAAGTGCCGGGACAAGCCGGCCGAGCCAAGGCCCAGTCAGGTAAGAGCTGCCAAATGTGCACAAGCTTCAGTCAGAGGCCCACCCCATACCATCAGTGATTTGAACCCAGAAATTGGTGTACTGCTGAGCAGCAGAGGAAAGGTCTCTTGGTGGCTAGCTGAGAATTGAAGATCACTGGGTGAGCAAAAAATTGTCTAAATAAAGGCACAGTAGACTGCATCTGTTAAAATGAGAAGACGTGGAAGCAAGTCCCAAAGCCAGGCTTCCAGATCACCCAAGTCAACCCCAAAGGGAAATGAGATGGAGCAGTCTGATAACCACCTGGACTCCCTCAACTGGCAACAAAAGAGGATCTGGAAAAAATGAAGTCAGAAATAATTTCTAAGATAATAGCAGAGATTGTGCTCATAGTACAAGGCATGATTAATAACTCTAGAGTGGACAAAGATTAAAAAGAGGAGGTGAGGAACATGATGAAATCCTAACATAGGAAACAAATGGAATCTATAACACAGATGCAGACAGATTTCTAGGAGATTAAAAACTCCATTGAAAGTTTATACACATCAGGATGAGCCAATGCAAAGGTAGAATTTCAGATATAGAAGACAGGATTACCATTAGTCACCAGGAAAAGAAAAATTTCTTAAAAATAGGGACTATGAGAAATCAGTCCAAAAACTGCTAGATGTTGCAAAGAAGAATATAAGACTGATTGATGACAATGAAGAAATAGAGAGTGTAGACGACAGTAAAAAACAGTTCAAAGAAGTAATGTCAGAAACTTCCCAAGTAGGGGAAAACAATTTGACATACAGATAAGTGAGGCATATAGGACTCCAATTAGCCATGATCAGAAAAAAAATCACACAGGCATATAATAATTAAGATTCCAGAAACCCAAAAGAAAAACAAAATTATATAAGCAGAGAAAAGAAATAAATCGCATACAAAGGAAAGCCCATCAGAATCACAGCAGACTTCTCTACACAAATCCTAAAGGCAGAAGAGCTTGGAGTGATGTATTTTAAGCCCTAAAGGAAAAGTGCCTCCAACTGAGATTGATGTACCCTACAAAACTATCTTTCAAAATTGATGAAGAAATAAGATACTTTCATGACAAAGAGCACCTTAGGAACTTCATCAGATCAGCACTTCAAAAAATTTTAAACAGTATCCTAGGAAATGACGATGAGGATAACACCCCAGGAAGCCCAGCAGAATAAATCCATTAGGTATGACAAAGTAAATGCAAAGGGAGATCAAAAGAAAAAGTCATGAAAAGGATAAGGCATTACTTATCAGTTATAACTGTTAATGTTAATGGTCTCAATTCACCAATCAAGAGAAATAGACTGGCCAAATCGGTCAAGAAGCAAGATCCAACAATATGCTGCATACAAGAAACAAAATTCAAAAGGAAACTCAAACTGAAAAGTTAAAGGGTGGAAAACAATATTCCATGCGACAGAAACCTGAAAAAAAAACAGGAGTAAGCTCTCTTTGCAGATTTCAAACCAATACTAATTAAGAGAGACAAAGAAGGACACTACATCCTTGGGAACGATCCAAGAGGAAGAGATGACAGTCATATATAAATATGCATCAAACACTAGTGCACCCAACTATATAAAACAAATACTAATGGACATGAAAAATCAAATAAGCACTAACACAGTAGTAATGGGGGGACCTCAATACCCCACTGCCAAAAATACATAGATCAAGTAGACAGAAAATGAATAACGAAATACTAGAACTCAGTCAAATTCTTGAACAAATGAACTTAACAGATGTTTACAGAGTGTTCCACCCCACAAAATCAGACTACACATCTTTTCAGCTGCACATGGGTCATTCTCCAAAATAGACCACAAACTTGCTCATAGAACAAAGACTAAGTAAGTGCAAACGAATTGAAGTGACCCCCTGT